TTTCTGTACAAAAGCTTTTCAGCTTGATATAATCCCACTTGTTCATTTTTGCTTTTGTTTCCCTTCCCCAGGGAGATATGTTCATGAAGAAGTCATTCATGTTTATGTCCAAGAGATTTTTGCCTGTTTTTTTCTAAGAGTTTTATGGTTTCATAGCTTACATTCAGGTCTTTGATCCATTTTGAGTTTACTTTTGTGTATGGTGTTAGACAATAATCCAGTTTCATTCTCTTACATGTAGCTGTCCAGTTTTGCCAACACCAGCTGTTGAAGAGGCTGTCATTTCCCTATTGTATGTCCATGGTTCCTTTATCATATATTAATTGATCGTATATGTTTGGGTTAATATCTGGACTCTCTATTCTGTTCCACTGGTCTGTGGGTCTGTTCTTGTGCCAGTACCAAATTGTCTTGATTACTGTGGCTTTGTAGTACAGCTTGAAGTTGGGAAGCAAGATGCCCCCTGCTTTATTCTTCCTTCTCAGGATTGCTTTGCCTATTCGGGGTCTTTTGTGGTTCCATATGAATTTTAAATCACATAATTTCTTATTTGATTTAATGTGTAAGCATATTTCTTGGCCAACCATGGAGGGATTTCTAACCATGATAAAATAGCCAGACTGTGTGTTTAAGAACATACATAAATATATATTACGTTTAAAGAATGGTTTAAAAAATGTTTAAGAAAATACAGGCATGAATGAGGAAACAGGCATGTGCAGAAATTTTTACTATGCAGATTGTATTTTTTGCAGCTTTCAAACAGTTGGGCATAGTTCAAAGTGTCTAATTAATCAGTGATGCTAGAGATTAGAAGAAGTAGCTTGTTCTTAAATATAATTGCATCTGTGATGCACTGGCATTTAATCAAGCTGTCCATCTATTAGACAAACTTGCAGCTTGTAAGTGAAGGGAGATCCCAAAAAAACTCAACTGTTTGTGGGCTGTTTTTCAATAAGACCCAGAAGGCTGCTTCTGCGACCTGGGATACCCTGACCCAAGGCCATCAGTAGCTCCCATGCATCTGATATTAAAGATACAAGCAATTCAGTCCTAAGAGGAATGCATTGGGTGACCTCCAAACAGACAACAATATAATAGCTACCTCCACTTGCAGGCTTAGTATTTACAAGGTAAAACCTGAAATCAGAGAAACAAGTTAGAGCTAGGTCTGAGTCCTTTTGGACACATTAGAGTCTAACTTACTCAGTCTGATAAGTAAAGCAGGAAAGTCAGCCCAGGGCCATGCAATGTGCAAATGCTCCCAGGCCTTTGCCTGCCTAGGTTTAGTTTCAGGTCCATGTTTCTATGTTTGGTGGACCCAGACTTTCATGCCCAGCACCCAGCTGGTGTCAGTTTTGCCACCTCTGCTCTCCCTCACTATACTGACCAGGCCATGCTTCTGTCCAGCTCTCTGTATAAGTCCAGCTCTGACTGTCAGGCATTCATTCTACAACTGGGATAGGCAGAAGAATTCTGGCTGGAAAAGGGCTTCCCTGCAAGGCTACTTCCTGAATCCCTGTGGCACCTTGAAGATATGACTGAGAGAGGAACTCGTTACTACAAGCCTTGCTGAGATAGGCTCGAAGAGCCTCCTGCTTAGTACAGGCTGTAGTGATTTATGTACCAGGATATACCAAGCCCATCTGCAATCAGCTATCTGGGACCATCAGGAAGAGGCCTCTGAACAGAAGCACGTTCACAAGGACCAAATCCTATGAAATGTATAATGGCTGGCTATGCAAAATGTTTTTAAAGCACTGGAATTTTAATATGGTCTTGCAGATATCACCTAGAGATACAAACAGCCTTCTGGTCAGGTCAGCTCCCACAACCAATTTGTAATGTTGCTCTCCTGCAGGCCAAAGGAACAGACCCTTTGTCAAACCCTAGAAGCAAGGAGGAAGCATGGCCATGCTCTTCCATCTATTGCATCTCAACAAGTCACTCCCAGCCTTAGTCTCTCCCACCTCCAACCCCAAGGAGCACTCAACATTGCCTTCTCCCCATAAAAGCCTTGGTGAATAGACAGAGAGATGATGTAAGGTCTTTACTAATTTATGAATGGGTATAATATTTCTATTCTACATTCTTCCAGAGGGCAGAAACCATTCTGTGAGATCTTCGTGTCACCTGCCCTCAAGGTCAGTATACCTACTGTAAAGTATACCTACTGTAATAAACTATATACCATGGAAGGCTTTCTCTTCACTGGCTAAATTATATAAATTACCCACTTCTGAAAGCCATAGAAAGACGGTGATTACTGGGGAAACACTAAAGGTCAGTTTAAGCAACTTAACACTTTACAGAAGCCAACAGAAATAAGGAAAATCATCACTCCCCAAATAGCACACACCAATCATAATGAACTATATGAACAAAGATAATACAAATGGCAAGATTACCAAAAACGAACTTTGGGAAATTCTAGGAGAAAGGGTACCAGAATTGTGGCATTCAATTTTTCAACTGTATCTTCATCCCTTTTCCCAAAGCTTTGTTAAATTCCTTTGTTAAAATTCAGTTGGTCTGCTAACATGTTTTAAACTAGACCATCTACGTTTTCTAAACTAAGAAACCTTAAAAGCAAAGCACACATGCCTGGTTTGTTCACTTCACATGCCAAGAAAGAGAACTATGTGGCTACGTTAGCTTCCTTGGGATTCCCCAGGACAATTACCTGAGTCCTCATCTCAAGGGTCCATGGATCCTCAAACTGCACTTAGGGAACCACACTGATTGTGGCAAAACTGATCAGTTCAGGTCATTCAGTGGGATCAGAGGTGATAGATTTGCATCAGACCTCACAGCTCAGGTTTGTGGAATTCTGGGCACCACGTTAAAAGTGTATTGTCCTTTTGATGTTTGTTTTTATGTTTGAGCCCTTGAAATATGACAACTAGGTGAGATACTGTTGACGAAATGGTGACTAAAAGAGTCCTGATAAGCCAGTTTTATCAGTCCAATTTTTTATTTAACATATTGAATTAAAATGATCATTCTTAAAAAAAAAAAAAAGTGAATTGTCCCATACACTTGTCACCTATCTTACCTGT